AATAAAATAAAAAGTATTACTTGCTATAATAATAAAAAATCATTATAAATTTCTAGAATTTCTAAAAATCAAAATCAATTGTTTAGTAATATCAAAAATAAAAATATTAATAAAGTCATTTAATGATAATTTAATATTTAAATAAATCAAATCATATTTATATTTATGAGTATGTATGTAATAATTTTTTTTACAAGAAATTTAAGAATCAAAAAGATTATTTTAATGAAATTGCTAATTATTGCCAATTTTACTAATTTAAAAATAATTATAATATTATAATAATTTATAATAGTGTATATATTATTTTAATTGATTTATAATTTAGATCATAATTTAAATATATAAAAAGATTTAAAAAAACTATCAAAGATTTAATTAATAATATAATGCAATAAATTTAAACAATTATTATTGCATAAGAATATCTAACTAATACTTATTATTTAATATAAACTTTAAAATTTATTAATTAAAATAAAATTTTGAGTATAATATTATGTAAAATGTGATCAGTAACTTTTGGTAAGAACTGTATTATAAATTTATTTATTAATTGATATTTGCTATTAAAATGCTAGCAAATTACCAATATTTTAAATACAAATTTAGAAAAAAATAATAATTTAATTGATATTTTTTTAAAACTACAATATAATTACTCCTGATAGGTATGAAAGGGATGAAATCTACTTTAATAAGAGGAATTAAAGAATTTTTATTAGATTTTGTAAGTAAATTAGATAAAGCCAAAACAGAAAGTCAAGCTGTCACATAAGCTGATGAGGTTAAATTCTTTAATTATTCAATTTATAATTTTGATTTCTTTTATTTTATTTATAAATATAATGTAATGTTATTTATGACCGTTCATTTACTTACCTACAATATAAGACTAATTTACACATTAAGGAGCTTGTAAGTAAACTCTTATGTTACGACAAATCAGAATACTTTATAACTAAATTACATGATAAACCAAAAATTATGTTACACTTCTACTTCCATGTAGGAGGTGGCACGAGGATTCTCAAAGGTTTTAAAAGTGAGATAGCTCTCAACGTGAGATGATTAAATCTTATAACATTGAGCGAACCTTTCATATGCCCGACATTCGAGAATTTACAAGTCAGGTTCAACTTACTTGGGGGAATGAAGTCGGAGAAATTGCGCAATTATGATCCTTCATGAAATAAAGTGACTTTCGTAACCACTAGTTTATTTGCTTTTCTTTCCGATCGAAAGTTTTATCATGATTTGTACAATGGATATAAAATGATCAAGGAACAAACAAAGATTGTTGTCCTCGAGAGACAGATGATGAAAATAATCGTACAAAAAATAAATAAATAAAATAAAATAAAATAAATCAAAGTATTCGAATAATAACTTCCTTATCATTTGCAAAATTTTTAGTATGAAAATGACAAAACGAGAAAAATAAAGAACAATTAGGATCATGATCAAAGTATTTACAGAAAAAAATAATGACACATAAAACTCTCTTTGACCGTTTATATGACCAATGTTGGCGAGACAAAAAAAAAAAGCCAATTTTATAAGTTTGTATGGTGATCCTGATCCATTTTCGCAATTTTTATAATAAAAACATGAAAAAAAAAAACCTCCCTCCATACTTTCTTTGAAAAATTCACACTATATTCAGTAATATCACTTTTTGTGAATAATAGAATAGAAGGATCCAAAAATAACGTTATCATGACGAAAAGTAAATTTTTGATCATTTTGACATCATTGTCGTTTAATTTTCTCTCAACAGCGTCAGCACAATCAGTCCACTTCCGAAGTCATTGACACCATTCTAACCGGATTAAGAAAAAACTAAAAAGATTAAAAGAACATACACTTATTCCAACCCTGATATTCATCTTTTTCGAGGATAACGTAAAGAGGGATTGTAGTCCTATACTAGGGTTAATCGATGACTTCTTGATCATCTTGATCCCACCAATTATATCATTTTTCATACACAAAAAGCATCACATAATGATATTCGTTATTTATCTTACTATTCTCTTTATCATATTGGCAATAGTGCATTTTGACCTCCTCAACAACAGATTCAAAGGGTATATATTAAAAGCGCTACCGTGTGTTTTTACTTTCCGTTGAACCTGAGCATTTTTGGATTAATGTTATATCGGCTATTTACTGTTCCTGAATCGGATTTGCCATTATCTATTATCACCGCCTCGGGTTCATTCATCTCATTCTCGTTCCTTCTTCACTCAAAAGTACAGAAAGGTAAATACTCGGCGATTCCTTTTTACCCTTATCATGATCAACGCCATGAATTTGTGTTGGGTTACATTATTGATGAAGCATGTCGTCATCTTTCCCCTTAGCACACTGACGTCCAAGATCATTTACACGTCGTGGGATTTAGCTCACGAGGTTGGTGAAGGTCGACTCGACAGATATTAGTTATGAAAGTATAGTATACCATATCACCCATTTGAAACAAAGGGACACGTTAGAAGAAAGCATTAACCGAGAGTTGAATAACAACGGACCTCAGGTTGACGTTTCGTTACCGATGGAAGATACGGAAGGTGATTTTTCCAATTTGTACCGTGATATCATCAGAACCGAATCTGCTACAAACCAAGCAAACAAAGAGGTCATCAAGTGCTATTACAAGTTCGGGGAGGCTCTATCGGAGCGACTAATCCATTATGAAAGATCTTATCGACCGCGTGCGGCGGCTCAAATTTTAGTTAATAGGGAAACACGCAAACAACTTCCGAACGTTACCGAAGCGAAGATCCACAAACTATTTAGCATTGGCGAGGAATTGATATCACTTGTATCATTTACCGCATCGGACCCAAATTGGAGAATGTAATTAAGAAAAATCTGGAAAATAGGAGTGGTAATGAGATTAACACAACATCAAAGTCAGCTGAATCTAAATAAAAAAAGGCGTGTTAAAGGATTTGACACCCAAACTGTGATTCGTGACGCATGAGGATATTATGTGTCGAGCTTAACCATGTCACATATTATGTAATGTATAATTTGATGTTAATAAATGAATAAATCATCTGGCAAGATCGGCTTTCATAATCCTAGTCAAATAAATCAGAATGATAAATTCAGTTACATCCGCTCTGTGCAATCAAAATACAGTACTTTGATATGTATTTAAAGAAAAAATTTTTTTAATAATATATTGATAATGGTACCCTGATAAAATAATACAAAGGCATCCGGTATCTAAAGAAATAAAAAAAAAATTACGTTAATCGGGCATAGTGTGTTTCAAAGTTGATTTGATTTATTTCCATTTAAACTCTGTGCATCAATCAACTGTATGCAAAACTTCCCGTTATAGCTTAATGCCCATTGGGCATTACCGAAGTACTGGCCATAGATCAGAAACAGGGATATTATAACTGCCATTTTAATAAATCATTAAGTTCACCATTAAAACTCAATTATATGGGAGGTTTGATATTAACGTCATGTTACGGATCATATGATTTATTATGTTCGTAACTCAATTTAAAATTTTTGAAGTAACTTGATGTTTAATGTCAATTATCCTTTATATGAATATTAGAACAAAATATCTTAATAACGATTTAATTAGTAAAAAAATTTTGCTTAGAGAATTGATATTGATCCAATAATTTTTGTTGTATACCAAATTTTGATTGAACCGGAAAATCCGTCATCTAAAAAATGGTGTAATCGATTTCATTCTTGATCGCCACATTGCGTAACCTGCCAAGCTACCAATAAAAAAATACGAGATTTCAATATCATTTGTCACCTTGATAAGCATCATAGCATGGAATTTCATTCTTATATTTGATATTTCATATATTATGTGCAATTCACTTTTGCTTTAGCATATCCCTCACACATGGTCATCGCCACGATTAATTAATTTCACTATGCGATTATTGGACAAGATTTTCGTCAAACCATAAGCATGAACTTAATGAACTCTTTTAGAATAGTTTGTTTGTTTATGACAAGCCACGACAAGTCTATCGGCTTCACTGTAAACTGCTACTGTCTTTATGCCTAATTTCTTAGCAGTTTGCATTACACGACAAGCAATTTCGCCACTAAAAAAATCATAGTTATATAAAATAAATTTAAAAAAAAAAAAAAAAAGGTTTTGATATTTTTGAGAATGAATAAATAATAAAAAGCCCATCTTCTATCATAAGAATCTCAATCTCTTTTTTATGTATGATCGGCAAATGGAGGAAAATTTTTTTTTATCAACGAATGGCGACTAATTTTTTTTTGCCATATGTGGTAGATGATGAGCACTTATCCAAACCATTGGTTTGATTTATGAAGTTTTTAATGTTACTCTGCAAACAATGCATGGTAAATATTTATACGAAGACAAACACAATGAAATTAGCCACGCCTTTTTGATTAAAAATCATATGACGAATGAGATCACCATAAACGGATTTCAAGGTCAAATTATTATATCAAAATTGAAAATCTATTTTGAGTTTTTGTTTACCTTGACCTTCCTGCTCGATTATGTTAATTTGCTCAAGATGATATCATATAATGAGATTCTTAATTCGCTTATTTGTATATACATCACGAGAATATTTTTGGTAATAATTTTCATGATTCAGAATTTCCATTTAAGTATTTTATAAAGAAAGTTGTTTTTTTTTTGTGTAGGTTTATGTAGTATACAAGCCACGAAGTAATTTTTCCGCATAATAATGAGTTATGACCAATCTTATATATATGTGTGAAGAATCTTCAATATTTAGCTTACTTTTTCTCTCGTCATACCCGTCCAATATTTTTTTTTTTCCTTTAATATCCATAATATTATGTTGCGTTAAGTTTTAGAAGTTTAAGTAGAAAGTCAAAGGTTTCATTCTGCAAATTTTAAAGCGGTTGCAATTATATTTTTTTATAATTTTTCCGAATTAACCGTTTCAACGTTTATTTCGCGTAAATAATTCACCGCATTTCATTCTTTGTCACTTGGATATGATAATAGGCTTTTCTATTCGTAATCTAAAACATGCATTCATTATTTTATCGCAACAAAATTCTCAATTCGCATATCATATTCAATACCCATTCAATATTAACATTCCTTTTTCTAATCCTATCTCTCCTTGAATTAAATTCTGCCGATTTAACGGTATATGATTCTTCAAATAATGAGATAACCACATATGAAAATACCGATATTTTTGGAATTCATAAACCCGATTATGGCGTTTCAGGACAATTAATCATAGCATCGTTCGCTAAACCTAATGATAAAGATGACCCTTGTAAAATAATTAATTTGCCTTTAATTGATGAGGATACTATACTTGTTGTACCATTCCACGATGCTTACAATGTTGGATGCATGTCATATTCAGACATAATTGAAAGTAATAATTGGGAAAATAATGACGATGTCGATATACCCTCATCGAAAGTTCCAGATGATAGCGTTTCCGGAGAACAAGATAGTGAAACACAATTTCCTACAACAGCAAACACCGAAAATAATAATGACAGCGTAAACATTAATAACAACAATGATGTAGTTGGCGCCAAAGCCAAAGATGTTGTTAACGATAACAATAACGATAATGCAAAGATCAATGTTAATGATAACGCCAAGATAAACGGTGATGATAACGTCAAGAATAACGACGCCAAAAATAATGAAATACCGCAAGAAGTACCAAAAGAGGCTGTTAATGCTCCTAAAACGCCAAATGATCCTATCGACGCACCAGCTGATAAAAATCCACCAGATACAGCTCCACCTGACAAAAATCCGAAAGACACAACTCCAGATAATACTCCGAAAGATATAACTACAGATAATACTCCGAAAGTTACAATTACAGATAATGCTCCGAAAGATTTAACTCCCGATAATACTCCGAAAGATACAACTACAGATAATACTCCGAAGGATACAACTACAGACAATACTCCGAAGGATACAACTACAGACAATACTCCGAAGGATACAACTACAGA